AAGACCCCCAGGTGTCCCCAAGTCAGCTGCTGCTGAAACTGATCAGCGGCTGATTCCAGGAAGCCCGGGGCAGATCAACTCTGCCTCGGGCTTCCTGTAGTCAGCGCTGGTCAGTTTCAGCAGCGGCTGACTTGGGGATGCCTGGGGCAGAGCAGCTTGACAATGTTTTTTTGGAGAAAAACTAAGAATACAGTAGCTTAATATGAGTTACATGTATTCATTAACCTGCAAGAAAGTAGATTAGAGGGATAGTCAGCATTTGTTTGTTAATATTTATAGGATGTTAAAAAATAAAATGCCTAGTAATAAGCATAAAATCCTGCCTCTCTTCATAACTAGGCTATTCAGTTTTAAAAGGGACATGTGGGATTTTCACAATGGGAATGCTTTTTCCCCTTGAACTAAGAAAATCTCAGTGCACTTCTCAATTTAATGCTAATCCCCAAACTATAAATTACAATTTCCTTCCAATTAAACTAGCAATATAGGAAGGACATCAAGAGAAAGTCACATAGAAAGGTAGCTTGCATGAATTAATCAGAGACATAATAATACTTTGCACATGTATAGGGCCTGTATATGTAAGGATATCAAGGTGCTTTGCAAACATTGCAGTATTTAGCCCTGTAACAACTACTGTGAGGTAGGAATGTATAATGGGCTAAAATTTTTCAGACTCACAACGAGACTTAAGAACCTAAGTGACTAAATTAATGTTGAAAAAGGCACCTAAATCAGATAGGTGCTTTTGAGAATTTTGCCCTTCATCCCTATTTTACTGAGGAAGATATATGTAAAGAAGGGTTGACTCTGATCTCACACCAGTATAATGACATTTACTTCAGTAAACACATTACCTAAATGTGTGAGGTGCTTAGAACTCTTTATTCCTTCAGTGGGAGCTGAAGGCTCTTTGTAGCTACAGCAATTTGTAGGGTTAGGCCTTTTAGAGCTAATTTTCACTCTTATGAGATCAGAAAAATCAGGCTCAGAGATGTTCTTTGCCTCAGGTCAAATGGCACGTTAAGGTCAAAGCCAAGAATAGAACTGAGGCCTGTTGAAGCCCAGGTCTGTGCCTTACCTACAAAATTATTCTCCCTCCATCATAGAATAATGAAAACATCTAGGGACCAAAAGAAAACTTTTGAAGAGGCTTTATATTTTGAGTGCTAATATCGCTGATCAGCAAAGCTGACCCAAAAAGAGAAACAAGAATGGAGAGAGAAATGTATGCCAGGAAGGACTACACCTTGTTGAAAAGGAGAAACAAACATGAGGACGGAAGATTTCCAGCCTCTTTTTATGTGCTTCAGACACAGAACAGAAGGAAGAAATAAGAAGGTGTATCAGCTGACTGCTGCTACAAATGAAATAATCTGCTGTTACATGTGCCAATATATTAGTAAACTAAATGTGGATCCAAGTTTTCAAAGCAAAGGTCCTGTCGCACCCTCAAATATATCTTGCACTTACAAAAAGCCAGTCACTGTGCATGTAGACTGATGTTTGCATTCCAATTTCTGACTGTAATCTTTGGCATTAACACACACACACACACAAAATCACAGCTTAGCTCAGGAAAGGTGTGCATGCAAAAATATTGGGCTGTCTGTCTAGAATGATAGCCAGTATGGCAGTTGTGTGCAGAGAATGCTCCCTATCCCGGCCATTGTGGTAAGGTTAAGATCTGGAACGTCAGCTGTACCTAAGAGTATTTCTTCTGGAGGAGTTCTTTCTTACCTGTCTACAGGAGCGATAATGGTGCTTTGTGCTGTTAGGAGGACACAAGCGGTTTCGATTATGGGGAACTGTTGTACAAGTTCAGCTGGTCTCCGAGTTGTGAATGGTCGACTTATGACCATTTGCAGTTACGACCAAAGCTGTCGTAAATGGCGGACCCCGAGATACGAACGCAATCCGCGCTTACGAACAGCGCGGTCGCGTGTAACTCAGTGGGGTCCGACTTACAAACGAACCAAGTTACAACCAATTGCTTGGTCCATAACTGGTTTGTAAGTCGGGAAGAGGCTGTACTTGTACTCTTTTTTTTTTTTTTTGACAAATGACTTAATTCAATGCCTGTCTTTCCTTTTATTTTTGCCTTAGTGCAACCCCAAAACCACACTTTTTTTAGTCTGTCAGATTTAATGGAAAATAGACTTCTCTTGTAGCCAAATTTGCATCTTTAAAAAATTTAGCCAATATACCAACTCACAAAAATATTGGTCTATAAAGTATACCGGCAGTCCCCGACTTACGTGGATCCGACTTATGTCGGATCCCTAGATAAGAACGGGGTGAGGCAACTCCCGCACATGCGCAGCAGCATTCCCGGGGCTCGCTCACCTGGGTCCTAGGATCCTCCTCCTCCTCGGGCCGGCTCCGACTGGGGTTCCGCAGAGCTGCCGGGCAGAGGAAAAGTGCCTCCCCACGCCCGCTGCCCCCCCACCCCCATGCCAGCA